CACACGCACACACACTCTCTCTCTTGTCCATGGATGTGTGTCTGTGGTGGTGTACCAAAGAATAGATATATGTATATATATGTACAATCTCAAAGACATGGCGAGACCTCCACTGGACAAGGACTATGTCTTGCTCTCGAGAAGATATATACATAAATATATATAAGGGATTTCATACGTATCATAAACAAGTTCCATATATATCATCACCAGAGAAGACACGCATATATATATGCAAATATATATGGTCAAGAACACCTGAACATAGTCCTCATTCCAGTATATATACATACACATTACGCTTCGCTTCATGTCTTTCTCCCCCATAACTGCGCAAGCGCTAATAGGGCAATTACTGTAAACTACGTATGTATCTTCACTTCCTCCTCCCCTCAGTCCACCTCACCTCATCTGGATCCAGTTAAGAAGGGAACGCAGCTGTTCTCCCACCCTCTGCTCGCTCCTCGCCAGGAAACGCGATTGCACAAAATGCAGAAGCCTCTCCTTCTCCCTCGACGGTTTGAACCCCGCCCCCCCCCCCCTCAATTGTCCCGTGGCTCGGCGCGCAGTCACGTGATGGGGAACCGCCGGAAGCAAACGAATGCTTTCGTGGAACAAGCGATTGCATTCACAGCACTACTTGCATACGCATCTCCCACTCTACAGACTAAAACGAAGAGGGAAACGAAAAAAGAAGAAAAAAGAAGAAGAAAGACAAAGACAACGAAAACCAGAACCGGTGTGACGGCATTTCAAGACGTTCGTTGCCCTGTCTCTTATACACATCTAGATGTGTATAAGAGACAGCGCATCTCCCACTCTACAGACTAAAACGAAGAGGGAAACGAAAAAAGAAGAAAAAAGAAGAAGAAAGACAAAGACAACGAAAACCAGAACCGGTGTGACGGCATTTCAAGACGTTCGTTGCCAGAAGCATGGGGTGGGGGGGGCGGGGGGAGATATAAATTAAAAAAAGGACACGGACGCAGCCGGGAGCGCAGCTCGGATTGATCCTAATCATCAACAGCAAAGCAGCATCATGCCGCAGCATCATGCCGGACGCAGCGACAAGCCCACAAGCACGATCACCAGACCCGACGGTCGAGACCCTGGGACCACCACCATAGGCTACAGGCCACAAAGTCTTCGTCTGTATGTCTGGTTGCCGGCATATGACGACGTACTCCTCGCTGCCTGCACTCTGCCCTTCCCACCCACACAGGCCACAGGCCACAAAGTCTCTCTTTGTCTGTGTCTGGTCGCCGGGCATATGACAACGTACTCTCCTTTCTGCTTGCCCTCTGCCATTCGACAGCAACTCTCCCAGTTCCCTGCCCTCTGCCATCCGACAAGAACTCTCCCCGTTTGCTGCCCTCTGCCCTCTGAATGCGACTCTCTCCACGGGAAGTGCAGATCTCGTCGCTGTTCAGAGGTCAAGAAGATGTCCACTGCCCAGGTAGTACTCTCCTTGCTGCTCTTATTTATCTCACGAGTGGATAAGATTCCTGTTTCCCGCCCTATGAGAGCCCAGGGAGAGTGCAGATGCAGTCGTTCGCTGGAAGGTTAGGACTGGGTTAAGACCCGACGACGAGGGAAGCTGGGTCGACGAGCTGGGTGCAGCAGCGACGGCGGCCGACGCAGCACCAGACGACGGAGGACGTGGTTCCCGCGCTCCAGGAGGAGGAGAAGGAGGTGGCAGCTGCAGCTGCTGCTGCTGCTGCGAGTGCGCAATCCGAGGAGGCGGATGGTCCCCTCGCTGATGTTCCTGCTGCTGCTGCTGCTGCTGCTGTAGGAGCGCAGGGAGACCGGTGTTGGAAGAAGGAGGCTGTCGCGCCTTCAGTTCTTCATAATGAGTATGGTAGAAGGATCGGATGAGCGTGTAGGGCACATACCTTTCTAGCGCGTTTCGAGGAAGGTACGGTGAAAGATCCGCGAGCTGATCGAGCAACAACACGCGCGCAACTATCTGTCGATTGATCTTGCCCGGTTCAGAAAAGATGATGGCTGCGGCGTAGCGAACGAATTTTTCCATCCGGCTGCGGATCCTCTGCGCAAGAATCGCTCTCTTATCAGAGACGAGTCCCGGTTCCTCCTCCTCGTCCTCTTCCTCGTCGTCATCGTCGTCCTCATCCTCGTCTTCGTCGTCGTCAAGATCCCGACCGTGGGGAGCAACACGCTTGCCAGACGCGGAGGCGGCGGCGGCGGCGGCGGCGGCGGCAGCAGCAGGGGGAGGAGGGGGAAGCATCTGTTTCCTCAGCTCCAGCCTCTCCATCACCGCTTGCTCGTTGGCCGCGAGGAGAGCGTGCACGCACCTAACCAGGCAGTGGGCGTTGTTCACGAACCCGCCGGTTTGACAATCGAAGATGGCATTTTTCCACGACGGGCAGGCCATAAGCGCGGCGAAGAAGGCGGGAAGCGCCGCCCACGTCGTCTGGCTCGTCGCTCCCATGTCCTCGAGCACCCCAAGAACTGCCACGTCATCCTCGCTCAAAGTTGCGCCGACCCGTTCCGCCAGCCTACGCAGCTTCTGCACGCTCTCACTCTCTGGCACCGTCAGCCGGATCTGAGCCGTCGAATCGGAGATCATCTCGAGCAGGTTGATCGCGTGCGACTCCATCACCTGCCGACAAGCGTTGCTGACGATGCGGCGCAATGCCAGACACTGGCCGATCTGCAGGCAAAGGCTCAAGGCACCCTCGGGATCGCCGAGTCTCCGCAAGCAAGCCTCGCGCTGGGCGTGGAGGAGAATACATCCTTCGAGATCCGCAAGCACGGGGGCGCTTGCGCGCATCATCCCCGCCAGGCGCATGATCAGAGTCCTCAGCCGTTCCATCAAGCGCGCATCGAGCTTGTCGACGCCATAAGGGCCAAATAACCGGACTACCGCCTTGACCTCGGTGATATCCACCAGCCTGGCTTCCCATCCTCCTCCTGCTGCTGCTCCGCCCGCTGCCCCTCCCCCCGCCCCTCCTCCTGCACCACCACCGCCTCCTCCTCCCCCTCCTCCTCCTCCTCCCGCTCCTGCTCCTCTAGACAACGCCTTATTCCACCTGTTGAAACCAAGCTCCAGAGGCGAGTATAACATCATCGTCGGCCCGCAGCTACCGCCACCGCCGCCGCCGCCGCCGCCGCTGCTGCCACTACCACTACCACTGCGCCGATCCCTCAGGATGTGCTCCACGTGCCAGTTGGCTATTCGGCAGATGACTGGTTCGTTCGTCTTCCTGCTCGGATCGGACGGCTGCAGATCCCTCATGTTGCCAGAGAACGCCTCCCCAAGAAGCACCTCCCTCACTAGCATCGACAGATCGACATTTACATGCAGCTCCATCAACTGGATAAGCTGGATGATCCGCAGGATTTCCGCCTCAAATAGCGTGGGAATTCTCATCGATCTGTGATTATTAGTGACCGCGGAGATGATACGTCGCCGCACGAAGTTCGCCACACACTCTCGCAGGTACTCTCTCGGGACGAATATCCTATCTACCACCCGCACCGGCTCCGCGTTGTTGACGGCAGCAAAAAGGGAGATCAACCGGTGGATGGTCTCCTCGAAACCGTTGATCCGATCATCGATAACGACGGCGGCGGCGGCGGCGGCGGCGTTATTGACCTTTCCGCTAGGGGCGGAGGCGGCGGAAGAGAAGGAGAAGGAGGGAAAAGAGGAGAAGGAGGAAGAAGAAGAAGAAGAAGAAGAAGAAGAGATGAAGGCCGAGGACGAGAGGTCGCCGCCGGGGGCGGGAAGGAGAAGGAGAGGGCGGCACTCCTCCAGAGGAGGGAGAATAACGCCGGCGCTGCCATCTTGCACCCAACTTCCCCGAGTATGCACAATACTTCTCGTCTTGGCAAACGAATAGGAGCTAGATAAAGAGGAAAACGATGCTGATTGACGACCGTAGTGCGCGCCTCGCCCACTGTTGCGCAAGACGGCTGCCATCCGCTTAGCCGCCTGGGCGGCAGCCACGTGGCCCTCTCCGAGGCCAACCCCCGCGGAGTCCAACATCGTCGTCATCATGCTCTCCACGCCCGCAACGATCGTCCCTAGCACAGTTTCCACGAACTCGTGAGCGACGCGCACCAGGTGAGGAAGCTCGTCGGGACAAGAGCGGTGGGCGTTTTGCGTGAAACAGGGCGCAGCGACCAGCCATGCGCAGCAGTGCGCCGGGTAGCCATTGGGCCCGTACAGCGATCTGGTCAAAGAAGCGTGCAGCTTCGATCGATAGAAGCACAACATCTTCAACGATCCGTACTCTTGCAGCTGCTCCTCCAATCCATCCACACTCCTCGACCAAAGGTACCCTACATTACCCTCCGCAACAAGACCGGCTCTGCCGTCTAGACACGTGGCCTCCTCCAGTTGCCGAGCGTGGACCGTTGATCTGGCCGACGACAGCAACGCGATGATGCTGAACCAATGCTTCCGGAAATCCGACAGGTCGAACTCCTCCACTGTCATCTGCTGACAGTGCTGGCCCAACCGTTGAGCGCCGCCACCCTCCCCTCTACTACTTTCCTCCCCATCCTCCCCCTTCCCCCGCCCCGCTTCTCCATCATCGCGAGCAGCATCAACACCATGATCGCCATCGTCATCTTCCTGCCGCTGCTGCTTCGCGCCTCTCCCCTGCCGGACGTCGTTGCCCCCTCTGATGCTGCTGCCGACATTTCCACCTTCCCCTCCCTCTCTCATGATCGTCGCCCCGCCGCCCGACCGGGCGGGAGCAATACCCAGACGTCCCTTCTGTTCTTCTCTCTGCTGCCTTTCCGCGGAATCAATGCACAAGGCGAGCTGCTCGAGAGAGGCGAGCAGGCTGCAGAACTCCTGTTGCAAACCCCCGTCGACGCGAATTACCGACGCCCCCGGCCCTTGGACCAAGCTCCTGATTCGTGGAAGCGCGCTGAGGAGGTACCCCATCGCGTGGCCGCGTATGGCGATGCTGTATTTGTCGACAATTTGCACCAGCTTACTGATTCCCATCAAGAGGCCGCCGATCGTCGCCTCCCCGCCGGCCGATTGATCGCCGACGGGAGGCGGCTTGCCTCTCATGGGGGTCACCCCCGCATGGGAGAAGTACCACAACAGCTCCGACCTCGCCATAGCCAAGGCCGCGAAGACGACGTGGATGTTGATGGCCACCAGCGCTGGCTGCTCCTGTAACACGACTGCCAATTGATCCAGCTCCTGGTTCATCATGACCCTCCTCTCCCGATGTACAGCGTCGGCGAAGCAGACGGCCGCTTCGAACGCCTCCGCCAGTCGCTTCTTGGCCATCTTCGCAGCCTTGTACTCTGCCTCCACATCCACTCCGCGATGCTTCACACCCCTGTGCTGCTTGACGATCTCGCTCATCTTCGGGACCACATGGATCAGGTACTCGTCGTGGAACAGAATGCACTCGTCTCGGAACAGTGGGACCACAAAGCTGTCCCTTAGGACGCTCGGGCAGACAGTCACCCCATTCCCTCGCACGATCTCCCTCGGACACACCAAGTACCCTAACAACACCCACTGACGGTAATCGTCGATGTGAACGAGGTCGACGGCTGTCATTGCGTGAGCGGTAGGGTCAGCCCCTCTTCCGCGCGAAGGAGACGGAGGGGCACGATGCTGCCTCCCTCCTCCTCCTCCCCCTCCTCCTGCTGCTGCTGCTATCGCTCCCTCCCGGGGGTTGCATGGCGTGAGGTATCCTTCCGATCGGATCCGTTGGACATCGCACATCAGAAAGACGGCCGACGAGATCGCCTCGATCGCTTCGCCCACTCTTGGGCTGAGGTCCTTCAGATCTTCTTGCACACCCTTCAGCGGCGGGTCGTGCTTGCTGATAAACTCCACCAACTGGAAATACTGCTGCGAGAAGTCTCCCGCTCCGACGGCGAATGCGTGAGCTAGGGCATACGTCTGCACTACCACCTTCCTCGGAGTCTTGCCGGCGAAAAGATTTACACGAACGAAATCGCAGAACAAACCCATCAATCCATGAAGAAGCATGGGGTTGTGCGCGGGCTTCAGACTAACCAGACTGCCGCTCAATTCACACAGAAGCTCCTTCGCGTGTTCGTTGAATAACATCAAATCCACGTAGATCCGATACCACGGCTCTAGTGCCGCGCGGATCCGCTCCGCATTCATTCGAAACGCCTCCAATCCCGTCTTATCAACCTTATCCAATTGCAGATGACGAGGATGTTCAGGAAACTTCTTCGCTATGTAAGCGTACAGGCGGGGCAGATCGGGAAGATTTGCAGACTGCCAAAAGGCATCGGCAACACGGGGTGAGGAAGAGGACGAGGACGAAAGAGAGCTAAGCGAAGAGCCGCTACCGGAAGACGATCCTTCCTGCACATTCATCACTCGCCTCATTCGGTACAATTTCGTCATCAATCCTTCAGCCACTTCTCTCATTTGCCGCATTTTCTCCATGCGTTGCAATCTCCTCATCGTCGCCATCTGCACGCCCGACCCCAACGATCGGCCGTGCGGGGCCCCCTTCAGTGGCACCCGCATCATCATCATCGTCGTCGTCACCATATCCATCATCCCAGTCTCCTCTCTTTCCTCCTCCTCCTCCTCCTCCTCCTCCGCTTCTTCCTCACAGTTTCCTTCATCACCCCTTCCACCGCCACGCCTAGTCTTCGTTCCTACCACCATCGCTTCTTCTTCTCCTGCTCCATCCACACCTTTGCCTATCCTCCCCCACCCCGCCCTCGGACCTCTTCCTCCCCCGACGCTTTCTCCACCTCCATTAACGGGCGGCTCTTTCGTCTCCCCCGTGGAAGAAGGCAAGATATACTCGCAACGCTGCTGCTGACACTCCCGAGGCAGCTGTTGTTCTCCTCCTCGGTCACTCCATGAACTGCTGGTCCCTCCCACCGATATCGGCCTATCGCCGTCTGCCTCGCTCCAGGTCGTGCTAGAGGCGGCGAAAGACGACCCCGAGGTCGCTCGTCTTTCCTCGCGGCAGATGGTCGCGCCGTCATCTCGGTCGTCGCCAACAAATCGCCCCTCGCAGCCACCGACCCTCGCCGTACGACCGCCAGCATTATTACTATTAGACAGGCTGCTGACGCTGCTACTGCTGCGGTCGTACGAAAATCCGCTGCGACCGCTGCTGCTCGTCATCATCTCCTTTGCCTCACTGCCGCCCAACGACCGCGTGCCGCCGCATTCGTGTCCGCCATCCTCCTGGCGATCGCCGCCGCATTCGTGTCCGCCATCCTCCTGGCGATCGCCGCCGCCGCCGCCGCCGCCGCCGCCCGCCCCCGCCTCGTCCTCCGGACCTATCGAACCGTGTCGAGACAAGGACGGCGACCTGCGCGCCAAGCCCACAGCAAACCCATCACCAGCTCCCACATTAGGCCCACCACCAACCGTCCCTGCATCCCCATCTTGCCCCCGATATTCAATGTCTTCTACTTCTTTCATCTCCTCTCTGGCTACTGCTGCTCCTCTCGTTTCCTCCCCTTGCTCATCCAGTGTCCGACCTTCACCACTTACGATGCTCGCTGACGGATCTTCTTCTCCCCGTGACGGCTCGATCCCTTCGCGCCGTCCGCACACCGTTGCGCCGATCTCCTCGCCGGCGGAATGGCCATCTGCGTCACCCGCCGGTGATAAGCGCCGATGGGAAAACTGCGGGAGCGCTACCGCGCCTTCCAGTGCCTTGGCAGCTGCTAAAACATTACTACCAACAAGAATCGATCCCTTCGCGATCTCAGCGTTCCCAAGCACGCAACCAGGGACACATTGCTTCTCCCCCTCCCCCGACTCTCCATCCTCTGTTTCCGCCCTCTCCATCCCCTTCCCATCCCCCTCTTCCATCGTCTACTCGCAGCCTGCCGGCCACTTAAGGTCCGCCACGTCACCGCTCCGTCAAGACAGACCAGAAAGAACTGTTTGATGGAGATCTATTCATTCCCCGCCCCGCATTTCGTCGCCTTGCAGCGAAGGCGGGGAGACGGACGGAAATGCAGTTCGATCGCAACGCAATGCTAGAAAACGTTTGAGAACCGTATACCATATCTGCCGATCTTCCAAACACGTGCACAAGAGAGGACACGAGAGATAACGATGGCCTCACGTACTGTCAAGACCGCTAATCCGAAGTTGTCTGCGAAGCGTCGAGCTGACACGTGGCGACAGCGGGTCTCATAACAACACCGGTCGAGCTGACACGTGGCGACAGCGGGTCTCATAACAACACCAGTCGAGCTGACACGTGGCGACAGCGGGTCTCATAACAACACCAGGCCACCTGCAACAGAGACCAAGATCGGGGGGCGGACTCCAGAGCGGAACGGGACAGAGAGCGAGAAGACGAGCGCCACCAAGAGATCCGACGTACTTACCGACCGGTCAGACGTGCATGACGATGGCATTGATGACCGCCTCTGATGTGAAACTCAACCGATCGACAGGGAAGGCGATCGCGACGTCCAAGCTCACAGCACGTAACGTCATCCCACGAAGCTGTTTCCCGGAGACACCATCGACGCATAACCTGTGCTAAGATCAACGAACAACCCTAGAACAAAGCCATGACGGGGCGAACACATTCTCTCTGGTAACGGTCAGGGCCGAATGGTGCTATGTTCACGGGTCAGAGAGCACGAACCTGGTCGTAATCACGGCCACATTCGAGCATTCTTAGCACCGGTAAGGCTTGGCGCTAAGAGAGAGCCGCCCCCCACCGGTGCTATGTTGGAGCCGGAGCTAAAGAAGCTAAAGAAGACACGAACCTGGCAACTTCACGATCATCGCAGAGTCAGGTTCGGGCTATTCTGTTCTAATGGCCAGACCCCCACTGGGTCTAACTCCATGTGCTAAAGAAAGCACGAACATGACCTTGCATACGACCAGGATCATGCCTACCAAACACACAATGGGCCTCGCTGTACTACTCTCCACATGCACAAGAGACAAAAAAGATGGGAATGTAGCTTTCCCTGTCCCTGTTCTATCGGTGAATTCAGTCTCATTTTGCACATTTGGAGAGTAGTGCAGCGACGCCCAATAGCCCCCTCTTTTCGGATTGGCGTATTGGACCAGTTGTGCCCAGCGGGGCCCCTGAAATGACCCCACCTCTCCGCAGCTGGGAGAACATCACGTGCGGCCGTAACTTTCCAAAAAACAAATATATATACATATATATATATATATTGATTTTTATATATATATATATATATTTATGTGTGCTTGGCCGTCAGCGAACGTTCCGACGCTGATGTCCTTACCAAGGGCCTCGACACAACGCACACGGCACGAAAAAGAAACGACGAAAAAAAAAAAGAAACGAGTGCATCTTCCCGCCATACACGCTCCTAACTATGAGGTAGGAAAGATGCACCTTGCCAAACTTCTGCGGGAAGATGCACTCGTTTCTTGTTTTTTTCGTTCGCGGTGCACATGAAGGGTACTCGCCGGCAATTTTTTTTATTTTTTTTTGCGGGGGGGCAAAACTCGCTGGCAATATACTTCGCCTTTGGGGTCTTCAACCGAACGCGCCTTTTTTTCGGGTCTACAGTCAGAATGACCTAGGTAGGCCCCTGCCCATGCGCTACCAGATCGTGCGCACTTGAATGCACCTCGGCCTCTGCGCGTTCAACGCGCAGATCATCCTCTACTTCGGCGTCTGCATTTCCAGGAGAGTTCTGACCTGCGGGCTACAGTAGGTTTTGCACCTGCAAGCCTGAGCACGCCATTTTTATTTTTTTTTCTTTATCGATTTCCTTGTACAGAATCGTGCGGATCTGATGCATTGACCACTATCCGACTGGCAGCTCGAGTTTCCTCGACGCCCGAATGTGGACGAGTTTGTGGGGAGATGCAGAAAGTCGCGTTGAGTTTTCCTCAACGTATAACTCCACAAGCACGTCCAGATTCGGGCGTTGAGGAAACTCAACGCTGCTAGTCGGACTTGGCCCCGGACTTCCTCGTGCAGCACAATGCAAGACACTGGGTGCTGCATGGCACCACCCAGGAGGTGGCTTGACGAGATCGTGAAAAAGAGGCTGCAGGCTGCGAACCTCTGCTGTCAGACTGGAATCTCACTGGCGGGACACATGGCAGAATCAAACATCAGGCTCTTGCCGCCAATGCCCAAGGTTCAGCAACTCCAAAATCAGGCAAACAACGGGTTTCAGAACATTCAGGACCACACCATACCACCCACCAAATGCAAAGTCGGTGGTGAGGTCTCACCTCGAGGAGCCCTACCCAAAAGCGCACCGAAAGCAGACGCCCCAACACTCACCTAAAACAAGAACTCGCCAGCCTCAGCTTCGAACCCAGACCCCTCCATTGTCAGCACTCCACACTCCACCCTTGCTGAGTGTAAACCTCATCAGTTCTGTGAAAAAAGCCCCGAGGTCTGTGAAGGGGAGGCCATGGAATTGTGCATGAGCTGGATGATGTGGAGGTGAGAATCTTTGAACGTTACGACCGCCGGTATGGACAGACATCCAACCAAAGTTCAGGTGTTGCAGGCAGGGACGGCAACATCGACGTCGGAGGGCTCCATACGTCCCGACACGAGCCTCCAGTGGTGTTTCCATAACTCGTCCCCTTTCAACGCCCCCAATGAACCGATCCCAGCTATCTACCTTTGCTCTCCCCTCTCTTTTCCCTACCTTTTGGCAATCTAGCCTTTGCCCCCGTCTCTCCTTTCGTCTGGAACCACTCATTGTCCCCCTCCTCGATTGAAGACAGTGGGAACAGTGGTGCGAGCACTTCATCAATCTCTTGGTGTGTCTGATCGGAGTGCAGCTGACGTGGATGCAGTACATCGAGCACCGCGCCTGGACCGAATGCACGGAGCTGCTGATTGTCCAAGCCTGGAGGACGGAGGTAGAGGGGGACCTTCTCAGATTTATGTTTGGATCTGTGCGGCCCGACCATCGACAGCTGATCGTGCAGGAACTCACAATCCCCCTCGCGCAGCTCGTCGATGATCTTTCCCTTGACAGCATCTTGCAGTGCGATGAAAGTCCAGTCCCGTACGTCCTTTCGCGAACGCTGACGCCCTATCTGCAGTGGTCGGCTTGTCTTGAAGAGCAGCGAGGGAACAGCAACCCGCCATCGCAAGCTGAGTACCTGAACCCGTGAAGGATAATTTACATCTCCTTCTTCCAGCCTCACACGACCTCCGAAGACAAAGTACTAGCGTTGGAGGGGGAAGAAGAAGAGAACGACGAAGAAGAGGAGGAAGAAGAAGAAGAAACCCCAGAAGAAGGGAGTTACAGCGAGCATAGGGAGGGAGAGTAGAACGAAGAAGAAAAAGAAGAGGACGAGGAGCAAAAGGAGTCTGAGTGAGAGAATTAGGATGAGGAGCCGAGCCGCACAGAGGTCCAGGAGGAAAATCCAGAGGCGACGGTGCGGCGCAGAGAAGAGATCGCGGCCGGTAAGCAGCCGCTAAAGTACGCAAGTAGAGCGGATTTGTCAATCTCAGATGATCCGACCAAGGATCCAGAGTCGCCCAAGCCAGAGGATGGGGACCCTGCTATCGAGACTTCGAGCGCACCGGCCAGGTGGCGGAGAAACCGATCCCCCTCCCCCTCCACCTCTACCCGTATGGCAGTTTGAACTCGTACCGATGCGGGGCATCGGGCTTCGTCCCCGGTCCTTATCCCGCCGGCCCCTTGACTACCTCACCCTCCGCCAGATCACCAACCTCGTCACTTTCCCCCGCAATCCCTTTCCAATCGATACCTTCCGCTTTTTCTACGCCACCAGTCTTGCTGTCACGGTTTATCCCCATTCCTCTACCTCGTGTGCCACCCCCATCTTCTGTCTCCACGCCCTTCGTTTCAGTACCGCATGGCGAGGCCACAACGTCATCGAGGTCTACTGCATGATCACGGGGACTATCCCCGCGTGCGAGAACCACGATCGCTTCCGCACGGCGCTCTTCCGAACTTTCACCACCCTCTACCCCGACTATCTCGCATCCCTTCCTCGTATTGGTAATTGATTCCCTCGCTTCCATCGGATCATCCGATATCAGGAGCTTCCGGTGACAGTGGTGGGAATGAAGAATTTTCTACCCCCGCTCCCGACTGACCCACCCCCTCACCATGCCCCCATGTATCGTTTTCCCTTTCCCCTCCCCAGCGGTCATTGATGCACGGTTGATTGGCGCGTGCCCCGGCTATGACACGAATAATCCCCTCGAAATTTTGAATTTTCTTTTCGAAATTTGTGTTTTATTAAAATTCCTTTTGCAATAGGTTTAGGAATTTAGGAATTTAGAAATTCGGGATTTTTTTGGTCTCGCGTTCTTTTTCTTGCGCGGTTTTTTTTGCGGTTGTAGCGGAGCTCTGATAAGTCGGCGCCCTTAATCTCGTGTGTAACTGTAATTTTTGGGCAGGCGCCATTGTAACCATCTTCCTTCATGAGCTTCGTCTTTCCCGTCCTCTCCTTTAGTTTTTGTTGTGGCTGTCTAGCCCGCGGGCTGCATGATCGGATCGATGCGTGGAGAGCGGTGTCGAGCGCATCGGTCTGGCACCACACAGGGCAGCGCAGGACCCTCCCGGCCGCGTCACGCAGGAGTTGGTCTATATCCTAGTCGCGAATAAACATGGAGCTTCCGCAAGCCGCTCCGGTCGAGTGCGCCAGCCATACCTCCCGCGAGCCCCTATGACAGGATAGGGCCTACGCGAGGCACGACTTACCTTCACCTTACGGGAGCTATCACCTCCCTTCGGTGGGCGTATCCCCCCCGAGCTACCAGTCCACAGTACGAAAGTTGATCAGTTGCAATCGCAGAGGTGGGTTAGCCGATGGCGTTTCTCGTTCGCTGCAGCATAGGGGGTACGCGCGGTAGTACGCCTCTATCGGACCCGC